CTTTATTCCTACTTCTCCACTTACTCCTTGCATTGGTAAACTTATTGATACATTCCGTTCCTCACTCACTTTTTGCACTGGTAAATCCAACAGGTCTGTTTGCTCCGTTTGCGCTTCCTCAAATTGTACGAAATAATCTACCTCATATTTTATTAAGATGTTGAAATTTTCGGAATATTGTAGTGCTATATTGTATTTTTAACTTTAAATGAACTTACAGTTGTTTGAATATTGCCCAGTTGGAAGACGAAGAAAGCGATATAAATAAAATGCATGTCGAAGTGAACAATACTTTGCCAATTCTGAAAAACATTCAAATTTACTAATGCACTGGATAACAACGCCTGTTGTTTGAAAATTGCATGAAGATTCAACAAATGATTTTTTAAATATATTAGCGTTGAAAAAAAAAAAAGAATATGGTGGGACATCTCTCATTCAAACGATTAACATAACATGTTGGAAATGGATTGTAAACGTTTCAAAGTAGTATTTGCGAAAACCTTATCCATACAAATTTGATTGGGAGATAATTTTGTTCTTAAAAAAGTACTCATTTCACGCTTACTGGAAATTCCAAAATTCTATGACACGAAAGTTTGGATAGCAGCTGGCATTTTTTATCGGAATAAATGAAATAGAACTTACCGGATGAAATTCTTGGAAGAGCCTTTGATATAGACAACCCAGTCACTTCTTTTGTTTGGTATTGTCCAAATATCGTCTGCGTAAATGCTCATTCAAATGAGAGTGGCAAACTATCTGTACAAATAATCTATCGCCACGTGTAATAATGCAATGATAACAATGATCGTTTAATCCTTTATACTGTACAATTTCATTTTAGCTGTTATATCGCATTGTGAAAATTAATTTATGCAAATCCGTCGCGAAATTTTGTGCATGATTTCGTTTCACAAAATTTTGTGTACAATTTAGTCACATTAGATTGGAAAATTTAATTCAGTTTTATTTCATAGGAAAAAATATTCAAATTGACAGCAAGCAATTGAAATTTTAAAAGAACCATTTTTGCTGAATAAGATAATCATTTAAATTATCAATTCAGTACTATTTGATATAATCTCTTTTGTAATAGTAAAAACAAAAGCTTTGCTTCTGGAATATTGGAAGAAGTTTATATATCTAAAAATTTATTGGAAATGGAAATATTGATCAAATATATGTAGTTCAAATTTGCTATCCTTTCTTTTGGGTCTTTTTTCTCAAATAAATTTCACTTTTATGAATTTTCTTTTTCTTTCTTACTATAAAAAAATATTCTATCATATTCTATACCAGATTACAGGATTGGATCCTTCTTAAGCAATGTTTTTATGGAAATCAATAATTGCTGTTCCTGTGGCATCATTATCAGTAGAATTAACAATTTCTTTAATCATAATGCCACTAATTAATTCGATTTGAACAACTAATTTAAATTTGAACGCGATAATACGAAGCATCATGATTGGACTCGAATGGTTAAGATTAAATCAAATTAAATAAAGGAAACACGTTTGAACTTGAAACAATCTGAATTAATAGCAGAATATGTTAATGTTAATTTCAAATAAAAAACTTGACTCTTTAAAATAACTATGAACGCTAATTACTACATGATTGTCCCCAGGCGATAATTACTATCGTCAACTAATTTTCTGAACTTGG